AAGACACCCCCTTGGCCAATTTCCTGGCTCCGCCACTGATGTCTTGTCATGGGGTATATAGTTCACACCATACAAAATTTTAAAGTTTGGCATGGTTAGGCCACCTTAATGGCCTGACAATACGAGTAATGATTGAGGCTTACCAGTCGTGGCAATATTCTCACATAAAAACCTACTAACTTCTTCTGAAACTTGCCACTTTGGGATTTTAAATATATATATAGCCATGATTGGCTTTTCTATATTAATTAATATTTTTATTTACTTTTTTTTATTGTATATAATAAGTAGTTACAAGCATCATTGATCTCCATACCCTTTGGCAATAACCAAAGTGCCAAAGGTATACATCCACTGCCAAGTCCCTGTATTAAACCAAACAAGCCAACCATACACCATATGGCCATGGTTGTTCAAAGGAGATGATTCTTCACAAGATGACTTTTAATCACCCTCTACACCATTTTTTCCCTTATGACCCTTACCATCACTTTGGACTTGGGCATGCTTGCCTTGGTTAGACACTATCACTTTGGAACTCGTGGTCATAGAGTTTTCCACCTCAATACTAGCATGACCATCCTCATTTTGTTGTGTTGGTCTCACCATCTCACCAGGTACTACTGGGTATTGCCCCTTTCGTGCTTTGGCATTCTTACGTAGGAATCTCTTCCTTTGAGTCTTTGTCATCCCCCCAATAGCTACTGGTTGACTATGCATATCATAAGTATGCCCCCCTCCGTGTGGCACATTGGGCATCTTAGAAGTCCTCATGGGAAGAGGGTCATGTGCCACCCATTGCCTTCTTTGCCCCCATGTCAGTTGAATGACCCCCTCTACTTGTCTTTGATAGGATGGGTATCTCGGCCTATGGGGTGGACCAATTCTTTGTTGGACTGGTCGATTCGGTCTCATCTCATCAAGTCTAGAACTCCTTTTGCATTGGGCACATAGCTTTTCCACCTCACTTGACACCTTAGAAGCGGCCGAGTTGGCCTGCGTACCCTTCGATGACTCTCCCCGCTCGAACACCATGGTGGGGGTCCCTTGTTGCGGTGTTGTATCCAACACCAGCTTGAAACGGGGGAGCTCAATTTTTGAGAAGTCTGGGTTAACCATGTTGACACCAAGCAAGTTCGGAAATGGGTTGGTATCCCCCAGCATGGCATCTTTCTTTGGCTCGTGGTGCTTGATGCGACCCTTCTCAATGGCATCCTGCAATATATTGTGAAAAACCACACATGAGTTTGTGGAGTGTAGCATATTGTTGTGCCACTTACAATATGTTTTCCCTCTTAACTTCTCAGTGGGTGGGATGTAATGCCCCCCTGTCAACTTGATTTGACCATCTTTGTAGAGTTGGTCAAATATCAAGTCGGCTTTAGAAATATCAAATGAATACTTTCGTGGCTGGATGGGGGCACAATTTGGTTTACCCCCTTGTGGTTCATTGTTCATATTAGCCAAAGGAGCACATACATATGGCTTCCCCAGAGTTAACTCAGCCAGGTCTACCTCCACCTCGTTGGCCTCTTGGCCAATATGGTTGACAGGGTAGCCGATGTTGGGGAAGTATTTCCTCATTGAGGCACTCCTCCTATTCTCCTCTTCTTGAAGAAGAGAATCATATCTCACTGCACAAGACATGAGTTGGAACAAGTCAGAGAATTCTATATCTTGGAATTTCTTCCTTAACTCAAAACTCAACCCCCCTTGTGCTAACTTGACAAACTCTCTCTCTGTCAAGTTGACAAAACAACGGTTACGAGCATTCTTGAAGTTTGTCAAGAAGTGCTCCACCGACTCTCCTGGCTCTTGGCGCATGCGCGCCAAATCAGCCATGGAAACCTCACGCTCAGATCTATAGAACTGAGCATGGAAGATTTGCTCCATCTGCTGCCATGTTTGGATGGAGTTGGATGGCAAGTTGACATACCAAGCAAAAGCAGGTCCTGTCAATGAGTTTACAAATACTCTTAACTTAATAAAATCTCCTACATCCCCACACTGGATAGTAAAACATCCAAAATGATCCACAGTAGACTGGTCCCCTGTCCCAGTGAATGTGGCAAACTCGGGGACTCTAAACCCCCTTGGGAATGGGTAGAGTCTATCCACCCACTCAGGGTATGGTTTTCGATAAATTGGTGGCATGGTGGGTCTCACTCCCAAGCCAAATTGCTCGGCAAGAAGTTGAGCCACCTGGTCCCTTAGAGTGTTGGGATCATGCCCCCTGGTTGCCCCCCTTGGGGTACGAAACCCATGGGGTCCATGCCATGCCCATTGAAATGGGGTGGCATGGGTGTTGGGTATGTTCTGGGAGGAACTTGATCTCCCCCACCTAAGCCTACTCCCACTCCCATGTGAGCAGGCACCATATAAGGCCTTGCCACTGGTATGGGTATGGGTGGCGGTTCCACTGGAGCATAATGTGTAACTCCCAAATTCTCACCACGTGGGGGAATTTCTCCAGCTCCCACATTGGGTACCCCTTCCACTTGAGTAGTGGCAGGAATCTCGTCGCGATTCAAGCGGTGAGGAGTTGGTTGGATTGTCATCGGCGGAAAGATGTTATCTTGCCGTGGCTGACCATTTCCACCCCCGACGGGAGATGAACTAGAATTTACAGAATTGTTAATGGGGTTTGGATTCCCGCCATCTAATGGCAGAGCTCTAGATTGAATTATTGGTGTGGTTAAAAATCTTCTAAACTCATCAAAATCACTTTTGTTCTTATTAACCACTTCAAGTAATTGACTTAGACGTCTATCAACTCTAGAATTAAGACAGTCCATTTGAGAATTTACCTGATGAAAAGCAGCTCTAGCCTCCTCCATCATACGACGGTTCTCCACCATCATTTGGTGGTTCTCCTCTGTGGCTTGAAGGTTCTCTGCCACAAGTTTGCGGTTCGCCTCCATCATTTGACGAAGGACCCCCACTGCTTCACCAATATCTCCACTAGGCATCGCGATTGGTAGGATCTCCGCCCCACCATTCTTTCCGGCCACCGCCTCTGACACTTGGCCATGTTCAATGTTGGCCACTTTCTCCTCCACAAAACCAGCCGGAGCGTCACCTTCTTGATTCCTCCGCCTTGGAGCCATAAAATCGAACACACGTGTCCCATCAGGTGTGCCAATTTGTTTTCCCGACGAGAAAAATAAAGGAAAGAGAATTGAATTTTGCACCTTTGACTTCCAAACAAACGATTAACAAACACGGTCCACACCTCTTTGAACAAAGTTCAAACAAGGGCGTTCGATGTTCTTGATGATCTACGAGGCAAACTAAATTACATTAACTCTACTCCTATGGAGGTTCAGTTAGAGCTCCGAAACTACAACTATGGCTATGACTACATTTCAGAGGAAAAGGTAAAGATAAAAGGATAAAATTTGACATTGTGTTGTCTGGTGTGATTTTGGCGAACCCCTTCTCTGTCATCTTCACCTCCTATTTATAGCCATAAGAAGTAACTGCCACAAGAAACTGCTCTGCTGACGTGGAGTGACAGTTACCCTCTCAACTGCTTCAACGGTTACCTTGACGTTGGATGTAGACCAATCTTGGCCTCTCCTCTTGAGACCTCACTCCATGCTCTTGGTATCCCCTCCGTAGCTTTGCTTCTCTATAGAGAAAAAATGGCTAACGCATGAAAGCAGACCACATGCCAAATATGGGTGGGTACTCGAATCACTTGAGTCAAAAATGGCAAAAATACTTCACCATTACAGGAGTAGGGAGACCACGTGCCCACCTGACCCCCCCCCCTTGACCACCTCACGAGGGTGATGTCTTGTAGCCCCCCTGGCAACCTCATGGGGGAGATGTTGACCATGACCCTTGGCCATACCATGGGGCGTATGCTGGTGACCCCCTGACCATACCACAGGGGTGGATATTAATCACCGCCCTGATCATATCATGGGGATTGCCTGCTCATGGCGGGGTGTGTTGATGGCCACCCCCTGATCATCTCATGGGGGGTTCTCCTTGCCATCCTTGGTGATCACCCTCGTGTCATATCCTGTATGAGGATCACCCCCTGATCATACCATGGGGCCCCCATCCTTCTCCATACTTAATCGTATTTCACACCCCATGGGGGTTGGTAATATGACCCCCTCACTACGTCCTGAGTCACCCCCTAACCACGTCATGGGGGTGGCAATATGGTACCCACTCCCTTGGTACCTCCTGTGGGTGGCAGCATGATGCCCACCCCCCTTACCACGTCCTGGGGGTGGTATGATGCACACCCCCCTTGCCACGTCCTGGGGGTGGTATGATGGTGGTCACCCCCCTTGGTACTTCCTGGGGGTGGTGGTATGATGCCCACCCTCCTTGCCACGTCCTTGGGGTGGTATGATGGTGGTCACTCCCCTTGGTACCTCCTAGGGGTGGCAGCATGATGCCCACCCCCCTTACCACGTCCTGGGGGTGGCATGATGGTGGCCACCCCCCTTACTACGTCCTGGGGATGGTATGATGCCCACCCCCCTTGCCACGTCCTGGGGGTTGTATGATGGTGGCTACCCCCCTTGGTACCTCCTGGGGGTGGTGGTATGATGCCCACCCCCCCTTGCCACATCCTGGGGGTGGTATGATGGGGCCACCCCACTTGATACCTCTTGGGGGTGGTTATTCTTCTCTTTGCCTTAGCCAAATTCTGCCATCACCCCCCTCACCATGTCATGGGGTGGCGGTATGATGCCCACCCCCCTTGCCACGTCCTGGGGGTGGTATGATGGTGGCCACCCCCATTGGTACCTCCTGGGGGTGGTGGTATGATGCCCACCCCCCTTGCCACGTCCTGGGGGTGGCTTCACCATGTGGGTGGCGGTATGATGCCCACCCTCTCTGGGTGTCATGGGGGTGGCTCTCATACTTAGCCAAATTTGGAGATACATGGCGCGCGTGGTGGCACGGAGTAATGGGCCCAAAAAACCCAATCTCCATGGCCCACTCAACTGATTTAAACGATATGGTTAAGTTGGCCTTATAAAGCCATTTAATTCCTTGTTTTTAACCGATGTGGTATAAGGTTAATTTTTATGGGTAAACAACTACAAAGAAAAATGAAAAGGAATAAATGAGATTATATGTTGTTGGATTGTGTTTCTAACCTTTGCTCCAAAAGATTGCTTCAAGTTTTGTTTGAGATTCATACAACTGCTCTCTCTCCTCTTCCCAAAAAGCAATAGTACCTAAGCGAGTCAGTTGTTGCCAATCGAAGTCTTTGGGCACATGATCATGTCGTAGCGACCATCCATGAAGTCGTCATGTTAGATTTGATGGTCACCATACTTCAACCTGAATGGTATCATCCAGTTGGTATCCATTAATATGAGATGATACAATCCACTAAGAGATTGGATGATATCCATGATATGAGATTGTCACCATAGACTTAGAGGTTGGATGAAATCCATGATGTGGGATGATCGTCATTCACTTAAGAATTGGATGGTATCCTTGGTATGAGATGGTCATCATCTAATTAGGGGTTGGATATAAATCGAATGAGTTGTGTTTGAATTTTAGGTATCTTTTATACAAATATTGTGTTGGGAAAAGAAAAAAATTTGGCCCCCCTATCCAAAAATTCTCGCTCCATCCCTGCACCTTGGTCTATCGAACTTGACGCCACCGTAGTCTAGATCTCGCAACCACATTGGTCTAGCGGAGTTGATGCCACAGTGGTCTAGATCTCGCGACCACATCAGTCTACTAGACTTGACGTCAACGTGGTCTAGATCTCGCGACCACGTCGGTCTAGCGAACTTGACGCCAAAGTGGTATAGATCTCGCGACCACGTCGATCTACTAAGCTGGACTCCAACGTTGCCAACGTGGTCTGGATCTCGCGACCACATCGGTCTAGCGGAGTTGATGCCACTGTGGTCTAGATCTCGCGACCACATCGGTCTACTAGGCTTGACGCCGACGTGGTGTAGACCTCGCGACCACATCGCTCTACTAGGTTTGACACCAGCGTGGTCTAGATCTCGCGACCACGTCGGTCTAGCGGACTTGCCACCAACGTGGTCTAGATCTCGCGACCACATCGGTCTACTAGGCTTGACGCCAACGTGGTCTAGATCTCGCGACCACGTTGGTCTACTAGGCTTGACGCCAATGTGGTCTAGATCTGCGAACACGTCGGTCTATTAGGCTTGACACCAACGTCGCCAATGTGGTCTGGATCAACGTCTCGTGACCACATCGGTCTACTAGGCCTGACGTCAACGTAGTCTAAATCTTGCGACCACGTTGGGCTACCCAACTCGCGACGAGATTAGTTCCTACCCAGAGACTTAGTGGTTTGGGCTTAAAAATCTAATATCATAAGGCTCAGCTTAAATAATATTAATTGTTATTATTGATCTGTCCTTATAAAGGCAATTAATGCATTGTAAATAATCAATTTTGTAAATAATTTGGTATAAGATTATTTTTGGTGTAAACAGTACCTATACGAACGAGTATCCATAATTACTTTTGATATTGGATCGATATTATCGTTTATTGATTGTTACAAAATTTTGTGAATGTGGGTTTGGATGCCGATCGAAGAGATTGAATATAGGAAGTGACGCCTACCCCTACTTAATGCATGAATGAATGTTGCCTTCCCTCCCAATTTCCCAAAAGATCTTCAATTTAATTTAATCAATTGAGAATCAATATTGGCATCAATTTTAGTTTTCTTATTGTCTTCGTACATACAGAACTCGATAAATTAAATAACAACTCATCAACTTCGAGTGTTCAACCAAGAAGAGCAATTAAATGCATGTTTTGCGAGACTCGTATTATAATGGCTACTTTGGTACACTCATTTTTTTGGAAAAAAATCCAAAACTACCACTATTAAAAAAAATTACAAAAATGCCACACATTCCCTACAATTTCCAAAAATAGCACCCTTCCACACAAAACGCACCTCGAAGGCGCGGTTATAAACCAAAACGCGCGTCCAAGGCGCGATTAAGTGTCAAACCGCGCGTTCCACAGGCGGTTTGACTCTTCCTAGCTGTCAAACCGCGTGGCCACGTGGCGGTGCATAAGACCGTGCGATGGGGGAGCGATCTGACAGTCAAACTGTGCGCCAGCTCAGCGATCCGCGTCGCTCACTCAAACCGCTCCCCCGAAGCGCGGTTTGACTGTTGGGGAAAGGTAAACGCGCGCTTGAGGCGCGGTTTTAGGCGGGGTAAAAGGACGAAGCCGCCCCTCCCTCACGCGGTTTCGTCCCTAAATAAACCCCCCTTCCCCCTCCCATTTTCTGCACACCAACCCATTCCTCCCCCCCTCCCTCTAACTCCTCACTCTACCCACCCCCCTCCCCACCCAAAAACCTTAGAATTAGTTATTTTGTTGGTTGCGGCTAAGTCCGATCTGCCTTCAAAAAAAAATTTCTTTGGTTTTCACTAAAAAACCGTCGAATCTCTGTCCGGATTCGGAAAAAATGGCCTATTTCACCCAAGAAGAGGGCATTTTCTATGATGATTATCAAACGGTACGTACTCATTTTACCCAATTGTTGTTGTTGTTATAATGATTTATTTAATTTATATACTAATTGATTTATGTTGTTGTTATGCTATCTTAGGTTGGGCCGGATGTTGATATTTACAATCAACGATATTATGTTGATCAAGGACCGATTGATCCGACTGTTTTATACGATCAAGCTAATCATCATTCAAGAGACGTTTGGAACGACCACAAGGTACATATTATTTATCATCACTTGTAATTTGTATTTTGTTAAAGTAATTTATTTGTTTGACAATAATTTACTTAATTGTTAATCGTATTGATTATTTTCAATAATTTAAATAATACAATGTAACACCCTAACCCGGCCGAGTACTACTTTTACTAAAATGCCCTTGATAACTAAAATACTCAAATCTTAAATTGCAGCGGGAAAAATTTTCATAAATAAAATACTGAAAACACACACTTGTAGCTCAGAGCAAAGCCCTAACACGTGGGCAAATTAAACTCGAACTTTAAAATCTCAATCTGATCTCCAGCCTATACTCATAATCATAAATGTAAATAACTAGGTAGTGTCTGACGTTGGTGCTACTGAAAAATCTTAACTAGCCATCCTCCGTGACGCTTATAGTGCCCTCCTCTAGTTGCCTGCCCTCGAATTCGCTGCTCACTAAATGCTCCTCTAGATGCTCCTTGATCACTTTACTTAACTGAGTGGAGGTTGTTTTGTACTTCCACTATTAAAAGCTTAACTCTTAAAACTGTATGGGAGTTACTGTTACTCCATACTTAAATCTCAAAACTTGACTTAAATACTTGACTGACACGGGGATCCCTCACTAGCTAGTCCGGTTGCCCACTCATACGTATGAGAAGCCATTCAGGCTTTTCTTAAACTTAAACTTAGTTAGGGAAGTCATAACGATTCATCCCCCTAAAATCTTAAACTTATCGTGGTGGCTCTTCACCGCGATTCTCAAGGGAATAACTGCTGCCCATCTTAAAAGTCTCAAGAGCATAACTGCTGCTCTATCTCAAAATGTCTCAAAGGCAACGGACTGACGCTAGTGACTAAAAACACTTAAAACGACTTCACCTTCTTGAATGTGAGTTACTTCTTAAAATGACTTGTTCTTAAGCTTTAATAATCATTCATAAATGTAAACTTCAAAGTAAGAGATAAACTCAAAACCTACTCTTCTAATCATAGCTCAACCAAAGCACATACTATCAAACATAATCACGCAACTCAAACATGAATCAAACACTGCACATACATCACTTAAATCAATACTTGCAAATACTCGAGGCAAATATTTGAAAAACCGTAAGGCGTAGAATTTACCGCCTTTACACTCACCTTATAGCATCTCCAAACCTCGAAGTAAAGCTGTTGGATCTTGGTGTCATTATCCGTTATGTAATGGCAACTCCATCTCCCTTTGCTTGATCGTGCACCGTACCCCAAGTAGGGTTCCTATGGCCACCTATTAATCTCAAGTCAAGGACGACTTACTAAACTAGATTCACTTCCTCCTCGAAATAATTAACCTGGACCCAACAACAATGATTTTTCCTAATTGTCATCCATTCTTGCTCTTCTGTCAATAAAAGAGACCTCCCTATTAGCCACAAATTAATTCCATTGCGCATCTCCCAATGCTCTTAATGGCTCCCGATATTCGACAGGTTCAATAAAAAAACATAAGCCTAAATGCATTTTCTGTCATATTTCCATCCAAGAAGACCTTGCCCGCATGCTTGTGTGATTGCCCTGTTCATCACAGCTACAAGTAAAGGGGAAAAAACCTATATATACAAGTATACAACTGTATCACAACTGCATCCAAAGTGACTCTTTTGGAATGCTCCAATAGCTTCATCATCTGTTAATATTCCACAACTGGAAATGAATCTATGTTAATGGCTGCCAACCAACTTTCCTCTTCTTGTACTTCTAGGGTATCGCCTTGATTCTGATTTGGACAGGTGCTCCAACTCATGGGAAGGCTTGGACGAGTGTTGTGTTGCTAATCCAATTCATTGCCACCAATGGACAAATTATCCAAACCACCATCGATCCCCAAGTAGCCCTCTGGAGGTGGGTAAGGAAAGCATCGAGCCATATGAATCTCTCTTTCCTTCGACAAGAAAAAACCAGATAAAGGAGACGCAACACGCAAGTCGCAACCTGAATCGAAGATTCCGCGCCTTTATTCTTCCTATCGGATCCCGACTCCGGCCAAAAATCCCCAACCGCAAGACTACGGAACCCTAGAAATTTTTCTTTTGCCCGAAACTTTGACTGATAATAGGCTTGCGGCTGTGGGAGAGAGAGAGGATGAGAAAGGGGGTGGGATTTTAAGGCTAATTTATAGTTTAATTAGTCCAAAGGAGTATTTTTGGAATTTCATAGTTACGGGTGAGTTTAATCTGAAACTCAATTAATGTCCGTAACTTTCTCATTTTATGTCGCAATTCGACACCTCTTGAACCGATAGTTCACATTTTTAGTCCTCCTCGACATTACGGTGAAATTTGACAAATTTGAACCGAGGGCATAATCATCATTTCGGCTTAGAAAAAGATGGGGTGTAACATTTCCTCCCCCCTTAAAAAAAATTTCGTCCTCGAAATTGGAACCGAATGTAACTGCATTGGTCAGGATGTAACATTTCCCCTCCCTCTAAGAAAATTTTGACCTCGAAATTTGCTCCATTTTGACTACTCCAAGCCTCGCTTGTGGTAACCCTTTTTACTTCGAGGATTTGTATTTCCTTTAACTTGTACGAAATGACATATAAATTCTTCTCTCAACCCCCAAGGTTACGGATGGCAGCTTATCCTCTATTCAGTCAAATGGTAAAACTCCTTTAACATAACTCTCGTCCGGGGTTGATCTCATAAATCACCCAGGTCCTTGTACCTCCTAACTCTGCATCTCTTACTTTCATCCTCAATGCCTCGTCTTATCCCTTAACCATAAACTGAATGGTCACCGCCTCGTTACTTGCTGCTTAGTGTTGGAACCTCATACTACTGTTTCTACTTCCTGTATGCATTAGGGGCATTCTTTGCGTCTTTCTCTAGCTTGCGATCAACTTTATGAATCCTTTCCAGAATCATGACCTTCCATTTTGCGTACTTGCTCACTCCTGGCACCTAACTTAACACTTCCTTATCATCGTTTGGCTTAGGAGTTCTCGTACGATCTCTTCTATTGTTCTTTGACCTTGCCCGAAATTCCTCGTACCGTTTCCCCGTCCAAGAAATTTTCACCCGAGAGATCACCACATTTCACCCTCATAGGTGGTATTGGTTTCACTTTAGGGTATCCTAGCAGGTTCGCTAAACTCATATCCCTCTTACTTCTTTACTCGTGACTCCTCTTACCGATGTTTCTCGCTAGTTCTATATGACCCTCGTCCTCGATGTAGTCATCTTGGTGCCCATATTCTCTTCTCACTTATGTACCTTGACCGATAAGGTTTTCCCTTCGACCGTTCTGGACCACCACACTTCTACTTTAGAGTTGACCATTGAGCTTCTCCGTTCTTGATGGGCTTCCTATGGTCCAACTTATTCTCCACTGGCAAGCACCTTAACGCCTCCTTGTTGACCTTCGTATTCTCTTCGCCGGCTCTTCCTAACTATCTTTCTCCCTGAATTTGTTGTTTTATCAACTACCACCCTTTTCACCATAACTTTCATTATAGCTTGTGGTTTCCTCCTTACTTCCACAAAAACTTCATCGATGCTTGGTACTAGCTTTGATCTACTCGGTTTAGTAGCTCCTCGCCACACCTTAGAGCCAACACTTCCACTATAAACTTTCTCTAGGTAGACTTGACAGATGACACCCACGACTTTTACTCACGATGGTGCTTGACCACGTCCCAACTATCTTCCTTCACACATTCATTGTCCGGTCGACAACCACCTTTTTTATTTCCTATAGCGTCCTATGGTGTTCTCCTTGCTTCTTTACTTTTACTACCCTTCTGTTGCTGCTTTGTACTATTTTCGGTCACCAAACTCTATTGAGTATCTTCTCGTTGTTGTTTTAGGTCACAACTTCAATGGTGGCTTGCCCTTGGTAACCTTTAACATAACTCATTCCATGTCTCTTTTTTTTTATCGATCTTGTACCTACACTTAGTCTCTTAGTTAGAATTCTTAGTGGCTTAACTAAGCATGCATGTTTCATCCTTAACTAGTTGTCTCATCTGGAGCCCTCCTACTATGTCGCGCCTACTCAGAGTGGGGCACCTTGGATAAGGTAACTTCTCTTTTTCCTTCTTCTCGGTAATGCTTTCCCTCATCGTACCTCTTTGTGAAGCTTCTTGACCTCGAGTCACCTGAGACTTGACCCATTGACTTCTTGAAATCTCGTCAAACTCCCTCTGGCCTTTTTTCTCTTCCTTGGTATTGTTCGCAAACTCTCTTCATTACGACTGTTTAGACTCTTCCTCGAATTCTCCAACTTTCCTTAGAACTTCTAATGAATGTTGTACTTTCTTTTCTATACCCGGTTGATTGAATGATTTACTCCTACGGCTGGTTCCGAGACTCCCGCTCTTGGCCCTCTAGTTCCCACTTTAGACTTTCCCAATGGATTCCTTGAAATTCCACGATTTTGTGATTCTCCTTGATCATGGTAGTTTGCAGGGTCTCTCAACCCCTTCTCATACCTTGTCCTCTAGCTTGCGCTTGAAAAGTGTATAGCATGCCTGATCTAACCTCAAGCTCTACATCATTTATCTCGTTACTTGTGTTGTTCCTTTCAAAAGCTTGATACCGGCCTAATTCCCCAGGGTCATGTACCCTCTTCTAGATGACGTAGCTTATCAACAAAGGTTCCTTCATCGTCATATGTAAATGACCATGCCTCCCCTCCTTCTTAAACTTTTGACTTTTGACGTCCTTTCAGACCCCCTCTAACCTACTTACTTCCTCATTTACTTCATTTACACTACCCTAGCTTCTCTTGAAGTCTAAGCTTTCCACTGCTCATTGTCACTGGTTTGTAATAGTATCAGCCACTAAGATCAATTGAGTGGTTTGTCATGGAACCTATTCTTGTCTTGACTTGTTGCCTCCTCGCCACTGCTTAGGGTCAAGAACCCTGAAATCCTCTAATCATTATGGC